AGCGTGGTGCTGACAACCCCAAGCCAAGGGTTAAGATCCCCTTACCGGTCATCTTTTTTTTAAAAAAAAAAAAAAAAGTTGGCTTAACAGACAGACAGAAAGGATAATATTTATTCTTAATACGAAAGAAGGAAAGGAAGAAAGAAAAGCAGACCGACAAAGGAAAAAGAAAGAAGAAAGAAAAGGAAAAGAAAGGAAAGGAAAAGAAAAGAGAGGAAAGAAAAGGAAAGCAAACTTTAGTAGCAAGAGAGGTGTTGAAGAAGAGAAAAACTGAGATGCCAAAATAGACCAACTATTAGTACTTACAATAAACACTAAATAGTCCAAAGAGGCTCAGATTAATTAGTTGAGCAAACAATAATTGAGCACCTACTATGTACTGCACATTGTGCTATTCACTGAAGATATGCAGATTAATAAATCACAGTCTTTAATCTCAAATACGACCTAGGTTTACTAGATTGCCTAGGAGAGAGATGAACTCTGTTAAAAAGAAAAATTCAAAGACACAATGTACAAACAGATCAGCAAGGCAAAAGACATACCATGTAGTTTTGTTGGTTTTTTTTAAGGTTGGGAAAATAGTGTGTGCGCCTGTGTGTGTGTGTGTGTGTGTGTGTACATGCACGAAGTATGTGTGGTACTAGGTATGGGGTGGGGGATAGGATTGTGGTGGGGGCAGTGGGAGATCCTTGGATCACAAGTCCAGCTAGAAGGGTTATTACAAAACCTAGCAAGTACATTACTTAGATGGAGAAGCAGAACTATTTGGAGAAGTCAAGTGAACAACGAGAAAGATCAAAATGTACGTCTGCATAAATCTGAGTAGCAGGGCAAAGGCATCAAAGGGAAAACACATAGTGAAGCTGATCAAGTCTAAGGTGAAAAAATATGAACTCTGAGGTGTGAGCTTTCAGGAGCTGGGCTGAAAATAGTGTGATTTTATCGAAAAGTGGTTGGTAGCTCCATATGCAATGGGGAAGACTAAGCATGAACATTTTGAGAGGTAGTCTGAAAATAGTCTATTTTACACACTAATTAGGGTAATATTTAGCATAAGTAGAATATTTAGATAGACATAGATTATGTCAATGTTCTGGTAGTTGATATTTCCACAGTATTATTCCATAATCTCTCTTATTTTCATTTTCTCTCTCACTGATAATGTTTTATGGGACTTTTGCAGAAAAAAATGGAAATGCAATTTATATTTCCTAAATTATATAGCAGGTTGCATGTACTTTTGGTTATTCTATTACATTTTTGACAGAGACTAATTTTTGCACAGTCCACCTTTCTGCTTTCCTAATCCAAGGGAGCAATTGTTGCAACTTAAAGAAGCCACATTTGGCTGTTCGAACTTAGCCACAGTTAACCCAGACTGTCCCTACTCTATTGATGTTTGTCTATCCTGTTCCATGTTTCTTTTTGACTGACTTTTTTTGTTGTTGTTTTTATCATTCCTGCTGGATGGGCACATTCAGACAGGCTGCTCCTTTGCCTTTGCTTCAGAAACTGCTCACGGGGGGGGGTTCCCAAGGGAAACTGACGACTGGCTTCTGTTCATTTACTTCACAGATCCTTGGCCCCTGGAGCATCAGATTTAGAAGAAATGATAGAGCAAGAAGGAATATTCTCCACTGTGTTAATTTAGCTTCGTGGGAGGAAATTATTGCCCTGCAGGTGGCAATACCTAATTTGGTAGGACAAGTGGAAAATCTGCTGGTGGAACAAAGTACCATGTATGCATAAGTTTCATCCTTCATGACACTGCCTCAATTGCCTAAAGAAGTTATTTAGCTCCTTGAAAAAGCTTCCTTTGAGACTCCACTTGTTTGCTAGGACTATTTCTGATGAGTGAAAAATTATACCCTACGGATCTCCTATTTCCCAAGTTAAGCTGAACAATTAAAAGTGCTTGGAATCCTGTATGGCTGGAATAGCTGAGAAATGCATGACAGCTCCATATGCAATGAGGAAGGCCCAGCATGAACATTTGAGAGGGTGAGTCATGGAAAATAGTCAAGATCCTGACCTGGACAGACAAAAACTAGGCTATGTTAGCAATTTCCCACAGAGTCCTATATATGCTGCCCTAATTTATACCCAAGATTTGAATGAAAGCACGATACTCACTACCAGAAGTTGTTAGAGTATTTGGTGGTATCCTTCCATAAAAAACTGGCTTGGACCCAGAGATGGGCAGTGTTGTGGAACTGATTGCCTAACACATCTGAAGGCTGTCAAGATTTGAATGAAAGCACGATACTCACTACCAGAAGTTGTTAGAGTATTTGGTGGTATCCTTCCATAAAAATCTGGCTTGGACCCAGAGATGGGCAGTGTTGTGGAACTGATTGCCTAACACATCTGAAGGCTGAGTACAGTTGTAATTCCTGCCGTTGGGATCTGTGAAATTTCCAATACTTCATAATAAAACACCTTTTACTTAAGCTAATTTAACTGGATTTCTTGTTTGTTTTTTTCCTTCCTTCCTTCCTTTCTTCTTTCCTTTTTTCCCTTTCCTTTCCTTCCCTTCCTTTCTTTTGCAGTCAAGCTGATTCCTAACACAATATCAAACTTCCCTTTGCCTTTGTAAAAAAAAAAAAAAATCTATTAAGTTATGCAGGTGAATGTAATGAGATTCATTAGCATGGGAGAAAGTTTTCAGTATAATTTTAGGCCCAAAACAATTTTAAAAGAGTATGATACAGTACTAACTATTTGTGCTGACATGAGACGTCTGTTGGACAACTCCATTGCTTCAATGTTAAGGGTCTCATCTATTTCCTTGTTACAGTCTGGACATCGTACTTTCTGATGTTCTGTTGTTTCTTCTTGGTTCAACTAAGTAAAATACAAATAAAAAACAAAACTAACACATGAATATTAACATATGGTTTAGCATAAACCTTAAGCAATTTTCATACTAATTTGGTTTGAAAAATGATAGATAATCTGATAGATACAGAAAAAGTGTTCAGATCCTCATCATTTGTTCAGTTATGTAGAAGATAAAATAATGACCAGTTTTGGGGGGAAGAAATTATATTATACATTATACATGTACATTCTCAGACCCCACTTGGAATCAGAGTTGGGAGGTGTGGGCAGCAATCTGTGTTTTCACAAACCTATTTGATGATTCTGCTGCAGTGAAAGTTAGACAATCTCTGCTTTAAACTAATTACTTAAGGTAGAATAGAATGTGAACATCTGTTAAGGAGTTGTGAATATGGATAATTACAGATGAGAAAAACTGAAGCTGAGAGAAAATAAGTGATTTCCTCAAGATCACAAAGCTATTTATTAAGTGACAAAGCTAGGATATAAACTCAGATTTTCTGAGTCCAAGGCCAGTGCTCTATGTGTAACACTAGAATATCTCTCATGTCTGTATTGTAAAGAGAAGAATGTGGCTGTTGATCATCTGTCTTCTGAAACAGATCAAGTACCATAATAGTGGCCCCAACGACTCCACATTACAGTCGGCTGGGTAGTGGATTAAAAACACATTTCGGGAATCGTGCTCAGTCCACCCACATCAGAATCTCCACGGTAGGTGCTGGGAATTCAATCAGTATTCTTTATAAGTTTTCCAAATGATTCTTATGCAGATAGGTCAGCAAAAGGCTACAGCCAGATATTGGGAACTATTAGAGAAACCTTGGTACTTTTCCCATACAGAAATCCTGGCAGCATTTCTACAGGCACAGGGCTTGGTTCTGAGTATCCATCTGGAGCTTCAAACACTGGTTAATGGATATGAAATGGATTGGGGGGGAATTCTATTTCATAGAGACTAAATTACCTTGCTTCTGCACTCCTAGAAGTTGTTCCCTCATATTGTGTGATGCAGAAAAATATTGCAATGAAAACTGGACGTGATGTAGGACATGGAAAAACAGCAGCAGCTTTGAGAAGATCCCATAACAACTTTTACTATTTCTCCTTATGGAAACCATGACTGATTGGTGTGCTGAGAACTCGTAAATGAGTAAGTCTGACCACAGAGATTCTAAAACATATCTCAGAAGCAAGAGGTGACATCTCGCCCACAGCTAAACTTATGATACTGGCTTTGAATTATATTTTACATTAAAAAAGTTAACCATAAATTAGGGTCTAGCAAGTGTTAGGATATATAATAGCCTAAAAAAATGCTGAATATTTGAATGAACAAACGCCCCTGCCTACCCTCAATCTGATGAAAAACTAGGCATTTTCTAAGGCTCACTCTCTTTTTTTTAATGATATCTTTTAAAGGCAGCTGCAGTACACTGCTCCCTGCTTTTGAGTTTACAACTATATTTTCTATATACCCAAAGGGGTTGTGACTTATACTTTCCCCCATGGTGATCAGAAAATACCTTAAGATCCCCTCCTTACTGTTATAGTAAATAAGGAGTTATCAATACAACTTCTCTGTCAATTACAAATACTAAAAATTGTGAATTAATATTTATACTTACTTAAGCACAATATCTACTTTGAAGGAATAAACAAAAGATATTACTTGCTTACAGCATATGGGTTTTGGAGTGTAATTGCTTTCTCAACCATGCTCCAGTCAGCATTAGCAAGATCTTTGTCAAATTTGAGTGCGGAAGCTGTAGATTTGGTTAGCTCTTGAAAGTGTTGAAATGTATAATAAACTGATTTATATTTTGTTGATGTGACATCACGAAGACCTTTGATACAAAGAGCACATTTTTAAAATAGTAGAAACAGCACCATTTTGATATGCATTGTAGAGCTTCCTTTTGTTCTTAACTTATTGTCACTAAGCATTTTTAAAAACACTAAATAAAGATTCAACATAAATTGTTTAATGATGGGAATTCTAACAATTTCAAATTTTTCTACTTTCATACTCCTCACAAAAGCTGAGGTATATGATAATAATAATAGTAATATCTAATATTTATTGAATGCTTACTATATGCTAGGAAAACATGTTTCAGCATTTTGCATTTATTGAGTCTTTTGGTTATCTCGACCACCATTTGTGGTCAGTCTTTTTCCCAGTTTGATAAATGAGGAAACAGAGCAACAGAAGTGTGATGGTTAATTTTATGTGTCAACTTGATTGGGCCACAGGGTGGCCTGATATTTGGCTAACCTTTATTTTGGGTGTGTCTGTGAGGGTGTTTCCGAATGAGATTAATATTTAAATTGAGTAAACCGGATTGTCCTCCCCAATGTCAGTGGGCCTCATCCAATCTATTAAAGACCTGAATAGAATAAAAGGCTGAGCAAGAGGGAATTCACTCTCTCTGCCTGATGGTCTTTGAGCTGGGACATTGGTTTTCTCCTGCCTTTGGACTTAACTGGAACTTAGACCACTGGCTCTTTTGGTTTTCAAGCCTCTGGACTGGAGATTTTGGGACTTAGTTTCCATGATCCCATGAGCCAGTTAAGCACATATGTTGAATTATTTGCATTACTCTCTAAAGTTCCAACTCCTCACGCCTTCCTTCTGTCCTTGAATATGCCCAGTTTATAGCTTCCTCAGGAATTTAGCACCATTGTATTCTCTATTTTATTTCATATGTAGTTTGTTTACTTTGATGCATGTACGACTCTCTGATTTTACTTTATCTGATTTGTTTACTATTTGTTTCTCCTTACTTCAGTGTAAGGCTCTTAGTAAAATTTTGTTGAATAATTGGATAAACTTGTAGTATTATTTTAGTTACACTGGGCTCATGTAAATAAGTACTCTTTTTAAATAAATAAGCTTATTGGTCTAAACCATTAACATGCCTTTACATATTCAATTTCTTTTTCAATTAGACACCACTGCTTTGTATTTATATGAATTTTTCTTTATTATTAGCACTTCTTTAGCATATTTAGAATATTTTTCTCTTTACCCAGAATAGTAATTAGTAGGGCTCACCTAGTTTAGTTACTGCCGTTGGTAAAATAAATCTATTGACAGTCAGGGTAATTAAGCATACTAATACTCCATGAAACAATATCTAGAATTGAAAAAAAACAAAGTAAGTATTTATGACGATTTCATATAATATATTCTATATTTACCAGTGTAAATTAAGTTAGGTTGCACTATGGTAGTAGAGGCTCATGGCAGGAGAGGAATTCAGATGTTCAGGGATTCTCTCTTCTCTACGTTCCTGAATGTACTTTGTCTATGTTTTGGAACCAAACCCAAGTTAGGACACATGGTTTGACAAGTAAACATATAGTCATAGAGACATTGGGAAAGAATAATTGTTCTTAAATTCCATTGCTGCATTTCTTGATTCCTGAGAATACACCTATACTTTCTGTATCAACCCTTATCCACTATGCATACCTGCCTGGGCATAGCCACACAATTCTCTGCTCAACATCACCAGCAATCTGTGTTAAACAATTCTCCACATCTAAGAAAGAAAAATACTCAGAGGCCTTGCTATGTTTTATCTGCCTCCTACTTTGCCTCTCTGGCACATTTTCATTTTCAGGAGTGTCTTTGGTGCCACTTGATTTCCTTCTCCACTTTATACTCCAAGTCAGTCTCCATAGACAAGTAGATTAACACTTTTTAATCAGAGACTACACACTTCTGGTGATATATGGAATCCTAACTTCCAGAACTTACATTAAACCCCTAGCCAGTCCTCTGTTCTGTGGCCACAGATGGAGGTCAGGGAAAGAGCATAAAACCGCACTGGAGACTTTCAATCGTGTACATTAGAATCATTTGGTGCCCAGGTTGCCCCCACTGAATAAGATTTAATTCTTTAAGGGTGCAACCCAAGCATTGGTAATTAGAAAATCTGAGGTATAATCTACATTCATTGAAATGTTCTTATGTATCATTTGATGATTTATGATAGTGCATACAACCCAGGTAACCCTCAGTCCTATAAAGATGTGGAATATTGTCATATCCTCAAAAATGTATTTAGTACTCCTTCCCAATCAATCTTCCACCCCATGAAAGGCAACTACTATTCTAATTTTTATTTCTATAAATAAGGATTGCCAATTCTAAAACCTTCATATCAATTGACTCATGTATTATGTATCTCACTGTGGTTTTAATTTGCATTTCCCTGGAGTAATGATACCAAGTATTTTTAACATGCTTATTAGTTTACAACTTTCCTTTTGAAATGCCTGTGTAACTCTTTTGGCCATTTAAAAAATTGGGTTGTTTTCCTCTTATTGTGAAATCGTATAAATTAAAAACTATTCAGATAGAAGTGCATTGTCAGATACATATAATGTGAATATTTTCACCCAGTCTGTGGCTTACCTATTCATTTCCATAAAGCTACCTTTTGATAAATAAAAGTTTTTAATGTTGATGAAGTCCAGTTATTATTTTAAATCCCAGGAAACCTCTGTCTATCCCAAGGCCACAAAGGTATTCTCTTACGTTTTCTTCCAGGAGTTTTAGAGAATTGGTTTTATATTTAAGCCTATGATCCATCTCAAATCAGTTTAATGTACGATGTGAGATAAAAATGGAAGTTCACTTTCTTTTTTCTAAAGTAATCTCCAGTTGTTCAGCACCGTTTGTCAGAAAGATTATCCTTTCCTCCATTAAACTGCTTTTAGTTTAATGTACGATGTGAGATAAAAATGGAAGTTCACTTTCTTTTTTCTAAAGAAATCTCCAGTTGTTCAGCACCGTTTGTCAGAAAGATTATCCTTTCCTCCATTAAACTGCTTTGGCATCTTTGTCAAAAATCAATTCACCACATAAATGTGAGTCTTTTTTGGTCTCTATTATATTCCACTTATCTATTTTTCTATTCTTATGCTAATATTTTACCAACTTAGTTACTGTATCTTTATTGTAAGTCCTGATATCAGGTATTATAAGTCCTCAAACTTTGTTCTTTTTTTCAAAATTGTTATGTTTATTCTAAGTCTCTTGTATTTTTATATAAGTTTTAGATTTGGCTTATCTATTTCTAAAACATATCTGCTGGGATTGAAATTGTTTTGAATATAGTCATGTCTTGATGATCTTGAGTCTTCCAATTTATGAACATGGTGTATATTTCCATTTATTTAGGTCTTTAAAAATTTCTCTCAATAATGTCTTGTAGTTTTCAGTGCACAAGTTTTGCACATTATGGAAAGAAGCCTGTAAGTTGGCTCCCAAAGGTATCCATCTCTTGATATTTAGTCTATTTGAATGTGGACTGGACTTATTTACTCACTTCTAATAAATAGAACATGCAGAAGTAATGGGACTTCACTTTCAAAATTAGGTTTTAAAAAGACTGTGGCTTCCGCTTTGTAGGCTTGCTTTTTGTAGATCTCTTGCTTGCTCGTTCTGAGAGAAGCCAGCTACCATATCGTGAACTGGTACAAAGAGACCCAAGTGACAGGGAACTGAGGGAGGCTTTTGGCCAAGAGCCAGCAAAAAACTGAGGCCCTTATTTCAACTGCCTGAAAAGAACCGAATCCTGCCTGAAAAGAAACAAGTGAGTTTGGAAGCAGATTCTCCAGCCTCAGTTGAGCCTTTTGATGGCTGCACCCCCAATTTATGCTTATAACTGGTTGTTAAGAAGGAAGGAAGAGGGGGAGGCAGGGAAGGGAAGGAGGGAAGAAGGAAGGAATGAAGGAAAGAAAGAAAAGACCACAACAATAAGTTGAACTTTCAGAAGGAGAGAACAAACCCAAGTACGCTAGAGATGGGGGATAGGTCGGGAGGAGGTTTGGGAAGTGATAGGTTGGGCAAAGGGCGTAAAGAAATATCGCATTTTGTAAGAATGAATATGCTAATAATAAATAAAAATTTAAAATAAAAATAAAAGTATAAAAAACCCAGAACATAATGTGAGCAAGTACAGAAGTGAGGTTATTAGAAATGTGAGGAGCAGAGTGTGAGTGGTTGCTAATTAAAGAGAGAAAGATGGAAGAAGCACCTGCAAGAATGAAGGCTGCAGGCACAGCAGGAGAGAGGCGTTAACGGCTAGTGAGAGTGTAGCATGAGGCAGGTAAAGTGGGGCGGGAACGTGATTGTCAGTCTGGTCATGTTCCATCCACACAGGTTCTGCAAGAGCAGAAGTGAAGAGGAGGGCTGTGCACCCACTTTAATGAAGTACGTAAATCATTAAAATAAAGACATCATGCATGCTAAAAAAAAAGTTTATGAGAGAAATTGAACCAGAGGCACCCAGTTAATCTGTATCCATATTCCCGACCCATAAAAACTGAGATAATAAATGTTTCTTGTTTAAAGCCCCTAAGTTTGGAGAAAATTTGTTACACAGGCATAGATAACCAATACATACATATTTTATTATTTTCATTTCTGGGTCATATTTTTGATGTTGTTGTTGTGTCATTTATTATTTCATTTTCAAATTGTTTACTGTTAGTATATAGAAATGCAATTTAGTTTTGTATAATAACATGCATCTCGTGATCTCGCTAAATTCACTATTAGTTCTAGTGGTTATTTGGTACATACGTATGCCTTTCACTCCCTATTGCCCTGGATAAGACATTGAGTACAGTGTTACACAGAAGTGTAGAGAGCAGACATATTCACCTTTTTCACAAACTTAGGGGGAAAGCATTCAGTATTTTACCATTAAGTGTCACTTAAGCTTCCTTTTTATTTGTTTGTTTGTTTTTTTTAACCCAAATAAATGTTCTCTAAGATTAAGGTAGTTTTCTTCAAATTCTATTTCATGGAAAGTTTTTCATTTTTATTCATAAATGGTTAAATTTTGTCAAATGCTTTGCATGTGTTGAAATAATCATATGGGTTTTCTCCTTTATTTGGTAATGTAGAGAAATATATTGACTATTTTTTGAAAGTTAAACTAACAGTACATATTTGAGAAAAAGCCCACTTGGTCATAATGTATTATCACATGTATATAAATATATATATTTAGATTTTATTGGATAAATTTTTTTAAAAATTTATTGAATCAAAAGTGATTATACATATTTTGGGGGTTCAACATTGAGATATATTGATCAAATCAATATTACTAGCATATATACTGCTACAAATCATACTTATTCTTTATGCCCCTTGTCTAATTTTACCCCATCCCCCTCTCCCTCCCTCTGCCCGCTCTAATTACCCTAGATTTCTTCTCTCCTTCTGTAACAGTAATGTTTACTCTGTTGATTTGTTGCCTAGATGATCTGTCCAATGCTGAGAGGTGTGATCAGCCCCCAATATTATCGTAGAGCAGATGCTTCTTCTGTCACTCTGGAATGGGCTTTGTAGAGAGAGACATCCTCTTCTTTTCTTTGTCTCTGCTGGTGGCTCTCCTTTTGTCGATGCACTCCAGTAGCTGGTGGACCATCTGCATGGTGGTTGTGACGTCTAGCCACTTTCACAGCAGCCTTGGTTATTGTGGTGGCTGGGGTGGGCCACCCACATGGAGGTGATGTTTTTGGCATGCTCCTTGGTGCTGGTGGTGTACCTGGTTGTGGGAGAGGTCCAGCCCAGGATCCATGCCTCAGGTCCCTGGGCAGGTGCCAAGGTGCTGGCGTGGTGTGCCTGGGCTGGAACTAATTTTTTGTCCTTTGCTTACTTCTAAAATGGGGAAAATTCCTGCGGGAACCAGTACTTGAGCTGTGTTGTTGAGTTAAATTGCTGCTTTGCTGCTGTTTCACTTGGGAAGGCTTTTTGTGCAGCTCAGGGTTTAATGGTTGACCTTACAGGTACTTCTGGCTCTCCAGAGACTGGGTGCACCTGGGTTGTTTAGAAACTCTGATCTGGGCCTGAGTTTTTTCATCAAACTGCACCCCATGCAATTCTACATTCCTGACCAGTTTCCTCTTCATGGTCCTGTGCTGATTGGTGGACAGATTGGCTGTTCTTGTTGTGTCCCAGTGTTCTCCCAGTGGGCCCATCTCCCCCACTGCCTGTGGTCTAAAAACTTCACATGGGATGGGCCCCACACCAGTCCCTTGCGATGACTCACCGGCCTCTGAATGGCTCCCCTTTTTCAGCTGTTCTGGCTCCCCACTCCTGTGTGGGTCC